TGTGTGAGCCGGAGGCTAAAAAACTGTGAGCTGGCTCACACTAACTCAGCTTAGAGGGAACACTGGTGGTGGCTCTTGTGGTTAAGACGCAGACCTGCAGACTGGAAGGTTTATTTATTTATTTATCTAACATATTTATACCCCGCCCATCCCGCGAACGGCTCAGGGCGGCTAACAAAGTGGTACCATGTACCTAATAATATACCATAAAATCTTAAAAACTCTATAAAATGACATACTCAATTCAGCACATAAGTTAACAATTAACAATAAAGTGCATACAGTAATAGAATTAGATGGCGTAAAAAAAATAGGTACTGCTTCTCTGGGAAGGTAACAGCATTCTGTGCACCTCGGTATCTAGTCATGTCAGCCACATGACCACGGAAATGTCTTTGGACAGTGCTGGCTCTTCGGCTTGGAAACGGAGATGAGCACCGCATCCCTAGACTCGGATTCGACTGGCTTTCGAGCAAGGGAAACCTTTAGCTTTACCTAGTGTAAAGCAACAGGCCATATCCATTGCCTGGCTTGTACAGGTGGGGGCAGCGGAAGCAGTGGGGAACACGTTGCACACCATTTAATGTCCCACCGTGCCCATCCTCCATCATTTCCCTGTAAAATGAAATTGATGGAAGTGTAAGGAGGAGGGATCACTTTGGTCTAAGGGATTTATTTATTTATAGTTAAAATGGTAGCCCACCTTTCCCTATAATAAGGCAGTTAACAATTCCAGTAACAACATTCCAAAACAAACAAAGTTAGACTGCCAAATAAGCAAAATCCTAATCATACCATACAATGAGATTAAAGCAGGTAAGGTAAAGGTAAAGGTTTCCCTTGCTTGAAAGCCAGTCGAATCCGACTCTAGGATTGCGGGGCTCATCTCTGTTTCAAAGTTGAAGATCCAGCGTTGTCTGAAGACGCTTCCGTGGTCATGTGGCCGGCATGACTAGACGTCGAGTAGGGTTGCCAAAAATTTTTTGCCCGGGAGCTGGGGGCTACTGGCCGGCGTCTTAGGCGTGCGCGCACGCGCTGCGTGCGCATCACCCGGAAGTGACATTGCACGCTGGGGCGGGGCCACGCCATTTGAGGTGTGGCCCCACCCCCAGCGTGCGACGTCACTTCCAGGTGACGCACACGCGGGGTTTCCCCCGGGCCCCAATTCCGTGGGAGCGGAAACCGGGGCTCGAAAGCGGGGAGAATTCCGCCCCCCAGGGGCATTTGGCAGCCCTAACGTCGAGGTGCACAGAACGCTGTTACTTCCCACCGAAGCGGTACCTATTTATCTACTTGCAATTTCTTGCTTTCAAAATGCTAGGTTGGCAGGAGCTGGAACCAGAGACGGGAGCTCCCTCCGTCCTGCAGCACTCGGGTCTCAAACTGCTGAACTACCGACCTTCCAGCCTGTAGTTCAGCGTCTTAAAAGCTAACTTTAGGGAAAAGGCATTACATTTTTTTCTGATTGTTAAAGGAGAGGTGTTCAGATACTATTCTGTGGACAACCTGTTCCCTTCCATAACCACAGAAAGGACTATGGGCCTGCTCAACATTGAGCTCACCTGCCTATCAATAGGATTTCCCTAGGTTCATCCCTGTCCTTGTTCTAGAACCAAAACATCTAAACATGATGCCCTTAAGGTAAAAGCTGATGCTCTGCTAAGAAATTTGGTGCTTTACAACTCTCCCACTTTACCAGAACCTGTGTGTTCAGTTTGGCATTAGGAACATATTCAATCAACTACATATTTTTATACCAGCTACAGCCAGCACCGCTCCATACCTGCCTGGCATGGTACAGAGGATGCAGAGAAGAGGCTTTAATATGAGAGACTACAGCCTCTCCCCCATCCCCTTTATCATACAGCCTGACGAAGAGTTCTGGAGGACTCAGACGCTGGCATACTGTTTTGTCTTACTTCGGTGGGTCTCAAAACCAGTTATTACATGGGCTATGTTCTCGGACTTTGCCTCAACTAATCTGCAACCCTTCTTCTTCACTGTCTAGGAACAAGTTTTTGTTTTTCCTTGGCTGATTTCTAAGAATCCCATACTTAAATTAAATTCTGCCCCAGCTAAAAAACAAATCATTCTGTATCTCCCCCTCCCCTCTCTGATCAAAGTTTAAAGCTGCTTCAGCTCCTGCCCGGGGACATTTCTGTTTTCATGTGATCCCCCCCCCAGCTATTTGATCGCCTATTACTTAGCATTCATTGTTTTTGTTATGGGAAATTAAAGTAATTTAAGGATAATTTGAGGAGGCATTTTCTTTCCAAACAGGTTAATAACTCTGTTGCTTGTTGGGGAGAAGGGGAGACGGCCATTTCCCTGATTCATCTGGAACTTTTGATGTGTACTATCAAACCGTGGCATAATCGCTCTGAAGAGCCTTGCTTTATTTATTTATTTTTTAAATTTTATTATATTTATAACCCGCTCTCCCGTAATGCGGGCTCAGGGCGGCTCACATTGCCTGGCACAGTGTGCCAAGGTTCTTATACATCAAACATTTAAAACTTTACCACTTTGGGTGATGATAGCGGTGGTGGCAGTAGTTCACATTTGGGGACTTTCCCAATTTTATTTTTCCATGTATGAAAGCTGCCCATCTGTTCCCTTATACCTCTGGTCTAGTCATTGTTCTTCCCTTTGTATTCTTTCACAAAAGGGAAAACCCTCCGGCAAGATCTGCATTATTTCCTGCTATTGTTCGGACTGGAATGCAGACATGTTGAGAACTTCCTCCTTTAGTTAAAACAAGACGTGAAGAAGTATATGAATATGGTAGTTCCTCTGAGGCAGCCAGATGTATTTCAGACTTAATGATGTTGAAAGTCAATCATAGGGCTCTTTTTGTAGCAGGAACTCCTTTGCATATTAGGCGACACACCCCTAATGTAGCCAATCTTCCAAGAGCTTACAGTAGCCCCTGTAAGAAGAGCTCTGTAAGCTCTTGGAGGATTGGCTACATTAGGGGGGTGTCGCCTAATATGCAAAGGAGTTAAAAGAGCCCAACATAACCTCATGGAAGACAGGACCAAGAAGAACTATTGCTGACATTTATTTTCATTTCTCCTCCTCCAAATGGAAAGACTTCCCAAGGCAACTTTTCTGGGTCAGCTTCCTGAGGGGGGGGAGGAATACTGAAGGCTCACTATAGTCTGACTATACTGTTTACAAATCTTCTAGCAAGTTAGAAGTCAGCAACTATGGGGCAGCACTAGTCCTAACAAACACAACATCAGTCTTCCAAAAGCTGCAGAGTATGCTTGCACCTAACCAGGACGGCTTTCTGCCTCAACTAAAAACAAATCATTCTGTATCTCCTCCTCCACTCTCAGTTCAAAGCTCAAAGCTCCGACCCAAGGACATTTCTGTTTTCTGTTTTCATGCCACGTCCCCAGCTATTTGTCAATCAGCATTCAGTGTTAGTGGCCAAGCTAAAGGGAGATTCTGAATAGCAGGACATCATCTCACATAAGCTGTTATTGGATTTCAGTGCTGGCGTTTCTTCTAAGAAGGCTTTTATGGTGCTCATTTCAGTAAATACTGTCAGCTGTTTACTACCTGCCAATGTGCTAGGCTCAGGGGTCATTTAGTAGAAAAAGAGGTGCAGGAGCTCATTAGCATGACTTATTTGCATACGCCACACCCCCTGACATCACCCGAAGTGTGTCAGAAGGCAACACCCACCGCTCAGGCTCCACTGGACTGTTTTGGATTGCTAGCTATTGGAGGGTGCAGATCTGTCCTCACAGAGGAGGGAGAGCTTGTATCTGAATAAAACCTGGTCTTAAAGGTGCCACTGGACTGTTTTGGACCAGGGGGCCGTGGGGGGGGGGAGCTCTGCAACTTACCTGGCTGCTTCTTGCTCTGACTGAGGGCTGCTGGGAGCAGGGGGTGGGGCTTGTTGCATGTGCCCGCCCCCTGGGCTCTTTACTGCCGGAGCTCCGTTCCTGTGCGCTCCTGCAGGAAATGACCCCTGGCTAGGCTTAATCAAGATGATACATACATCTCAGGGACATATCTGTACACATGTCATATATTTGTTAATTTGTAAGACCTACCATGTGTTTTGGCAATATTGGGTTTGTTGCTTGCCACCTCAGGAATCCACCTCAACCCTTTTGTGATGATTTCATTTGTCTTTTCGGTCAGTGGCAAAGTAATGCATTGAATGTCCCCGTGATGCCTGTATAGGCGAGACTAAGCCTTATTCCAGATCCTGTTCTGTTTATCTTTCTGCTTCCAAACTGTTTAAAACTAAGTCAGTGACATGTGCTAATCTGATGGTAATATCAACTGTGAGCAGTCATCTGGGCAGGGAAAAAAACCCCACCATCCCTGTGCCAAGCTGGAGTAGTGGTTAGAGCAGTGATGGCGAACCTTTTAGAGACCGAGTGCCCAAACTGCGACCCAAAACCCACTTATTTATCGCAAAGTGCCAACACGGCAATTTAACCTGAATACTGAGGTTTTACTTTAGAAAGAACAACTCATACATTAACTTAAGATGACCCAAACAAAGTAAGGAAAGCAATCCCAAATGCTTTCATTTACTTAAAAAATTATTTGGCAGAGAATTTGACACTTTAATGATGGTCTGGGCCTGGCTGGGGCGATGGCACGTGTGTCCACAGAGAGGGCTCTGAGTGCCACCTCTGGCACCGGTGCCATAGGTTCACCACCACTGGGTTAGAGTGTCAATTTCAGGGATCAATACCTATTGAGCCATGAAGTTCATTGAGTTATCTGGGGCTGGTCTCTTTCAACCTAAGGTACCTCATCGGGTTGTTATGGGAATAAAGTCGAGAAGTGAAAACTTACGTCTGCCCTCTTGAGCTCTCAGAAGGGAGGGCAGGATAAAACTGGGGTAGATTCTTCCTGCACATATAACTTGTTCTTAGGCAAGCCCATAGAAAAGACTTTTGAAAACTTTTCATCCCCCACCTGTTACCATTGTTTTTCGGGACATGCCACTCTAAGTGCCCATTTAGCATCAATTTAAGACAAATACACACAACCCGTGAGCCTGTTCCTAGAATCAAAAATACATCCTACTAATAAGTCCAATGTTCCCTCTAAGCTGAGTTAGTGTGAGCTAGCTCATAGTTTTTTCAGCCTCCAGCTCACAGATTTTGGTCCTAGCTCAGGAAGGGATGGCTCCAGAGCGAACTAATTTATGCAGTAGCCAAATCGCTTGCTCACAACTTTAATGCCTGTAGCTCACAGAGTAGACGTTTTGCTCACAAGACTCCACGGCTTAGAGGGAGCATTGCTAATAACGATGGAAGGAGGAAATGTGTGTTTGCAGTGAATGTGCAAAGCGAAGCATGGAGACCACAAAGGAGGAAGCAAGAAATGTAGCGGCATCATCTTTGGTGGAGGCATACGGTAGAAGCGCTGCAGCTCTCAGTTACAGCAGCTGCTACTATACATTATTCATGGCAAATCTTAACAAGGACGGGAAAATATGAAGAATTCTGGGGTCATTAGCGCTTCCCCTCCTGCAGACATTTTTGAAAGGAAAAAAAAACCAACAGGGAAAAGGCAAATGGTTTCTGGGAAGCTAGCTCTCTCACATGCAAATATTTTGTTCAGGGGAAGTGGGATGCAAATATGGCTTCAGAAGGGCAGTCGCTTACTTCTGGCCATGTGCAGCACTGCTTTTGTGTTGATTCTGCAACACCGTTGGTCTCTTGCTGCTGTTGTGATAGTGGCAGAGATCTGAGGTAACAGACTGGACTGCACCACTGCAGATCATAGGTGGAGGACCACACTTGAGAAAGCTTCCGGGTGCTAGAAACTCCCTGTGAATAGCAAACTGGTATAGCAAGCAGAGAGGATGAGTAGAAGCCTTCCTCTCTGCTGTCAATCTACTACTTGCAAAGTGTTTTAACCCTTGATTTTTTTAAAAAAATGTCATTCCCTGCCTGTAGTCGAAAGTGGGGCAGGCCACTCAGTTGTTTCCGTTTCCTGTCCCATACTCCTCTGTATGTGACGAAGGCAGACAGTGGGGGTGACTCAAGACTTACATAAAAGGCTATAAATGGATTCTCTCGCTGTGTCTGGATAAACAACTCTGCCTCGATACATATAATTAATTCAACCTGTTTTGTTCATCTCATTTCGTTTCCCACACGTACATTCTGTTTCACTGCATTTGGCCATCTGTTTCTTTCCTCGGCAGAACTATTCAGTGAGTGCTACCACAACAGCGAGGACCGGGCTTTCGCTTTGCTGGTGAGGAGAAACCGTTTCTGGAGCAAAACCACTTGTCTCCACTTGGCCACAGAAGCAGATACCAAGTCTTTCTTTGCACACGATGGGGTGCAGGTGAGCAAATGAAGCCACCAGTTACGGTATCACATTTTCAAAACACAAGGCCCACAGTAACCATTGCTGGGACTTTAGTGGGTAGGTCTCCTAGAAATATTTAAAATTCAGGATTTAGAATTCTGGCTTATGACATTATATAAATACAAGAAGGGGGACCCACGATACTCGCGGTGGGGGAGGAGCTCCATGCGGATGAGGAGGAAGCAGCCGCAGGTAAACCGTCTCCCACCCCAGCACCAATGGTGAGGCCCACACGGCTCCCAGCCGCCGGGCCCACTAAACCTTCTCCCCTGCCCCCGGCACCAATGGGGAGGCCTGTGTGGCTCCCGCCGGGTCCACCAAACCTTCTCCCCCCGCACCAATGGCGAGGCCCATGTGGCTCCTGCCGAGCCCGCCAAGCCTTCTCCCTCGCCCCCTGGCACCAATGGCGAGGCCCGCATGGCTCCCAGCTGTCGGGCCCGCCAAGCTTTCTCCCTCCCCCTGCGGCGGTGGTGACAGCAGTGGCGAGGCCTGAGTAGCCGGTCCGCCAAGCCTTCTCCCCCCCCCCCAGTGGGGGCAGCGGCTGGGAGGCAATTCTCAGAGCATTCTCTCTGCATGCGCAGGGAACACCGGTGAGGCAATTCTCAGAGCATTCTCTGTGCATCCGCAGGGAACACTCTTTTACTTTTGGGGGGGATTTAAGTATCCCCCCTATATTTTTTTATAGATTTCAGATTTTTCTGCACATCTGGGGATTGCCCCAAATGTGCAGGAAAACCTCTTTGCCCCCTAGGTGCCCCTGATGTGCAGATTTAGATATCCGCACACGGGGGTGCCTTGGCTATTAGTATATAGATATTCTGTTATAAATTGTCCACATACTGATATCCATGCTAATATGATAGGGTGTGTTTTTTTAACCCAATGATGTTTGGGAATAAGAAACTCCTGAGATTATTTTCTCTCAGTAGGGTTAAGAAGAAGAAGAAGAAGAAGAGATTGGATTTATACCCCACCCTTCACTTGGAGTCTCAGAGCGGTTTACAACTCCTTTACCTTCCCCTCCCCACAACAGACACCCTGTGAGGTGGGTGGGGCTGAGAGAACTCTGACACAAACTGTTCTTTTTCAAGGACAGCTGTGCCAGAGCTTGTGACTGACCCAAGGTCACATCAGCAGGTGCAAGTGGAGGAGTGGGGAATCAAACCCGGTTCTCCCAGATTAGAGTCCGCACACTTAACCACTACACCAAACACTCAGTGGGATAGTATATACTAGTAACATTGTACTTTTGTGCCATAGTACTGATGACAGAGTCCCTCAGGCACATTTGCCTTTTGAACTGGGCAAGAAAAAGGAAGGAAGAGGGATGCCAGAGTGGTTGTATTAAGGAACACCATACTTACCAGCTCAAATAGTTGGTGCACCACTGAATGTCTGCTTCTGCTTTCTTGACTGTTACACATGAGATCAAGTAGCATGTGATTGTGGTTCTTTATATGATTCTTCTAGGCCTCATCCTAAACAATATACTTTTCCCTACTGTTAAGTCGATAGAATAGAAAAATACTGTACTTTGATGTTCTTTGTACTTATGCTAACTTTGCATCCTCTGAATTTCAGGCTTTTCTGACAAAAATCTGGTGGGGAGATATGTCAACATCCACCCCTATCTTGAAGCTAATTTGTGGATTTTGGTGTCCTTTCCTGATATATACTAATTTGATATCATTCAGGTATTATCAATATAGTTATTTTGCATTTAGATATTCAAGAAAGAAAACATGTTCTATGCAATCACAAATATTGAAGAGTGGTAAAATACGTTACATATATACATATATATGTTTGTGTGTATGTGTGTGTGTGTGTGTGTGTGTGTGTGTATACACACACACACACATACACACACACAGATAACTATAAAAAAGAAATGAAATAAACATCTTTTGTAAAAGTCTAGCCCCCAATGCTTTAAGTCTTTTTTTGTGGTAGAGGTTCTATGCCATTAAGGGCTTCATGAGATACGGAAATTCAGTTGGTGAATATTTGCTAGTATACAAGTGCAACTGGAGGAACCTGCACCGGATGGATTCATAAAATGTGAACTGATTCAACTTCTGCACAATGCAGAAGGCACAAGGTCTTTGCCAGGAAAAATGAGTAAAATATAATGTGCATTTCATATGAGTGAAATGTCCCATATGTTTCAGAAAGAGAATTATGCAACACGAAGGAAGGAATGATGGATATTTTCTATAGATTCTTATTCTATTGGTGAATATTTTTCTCTCCTAAGAGCACACTGCATGCCAAACAAGACATTATCTCAGTTGTTAGTGCAGTATGACCCAACAATGTCCATCGTGATTCTTACTTGTAAATATTTGACTTTCGATCCGACAAATAGCTTAAGCAAAAGTAGTTGGGTGAACAGATAGCTAAACTAAACTGGTTTATCTAAACTGAATCATGGACGAGATTTCCCACATTTGTGTGAAAATAAACAGGAGTCTTTTGGCACTTTAAAGTAATAACCTTTTATTCCAGCTTTCATGAACTAGAGCCCAGATTCCTTCTGGATGGCTCTGATCTGTTTATGTTGGAATAAAACTTGTCAGTCTACAAGACTCTTACTTATTTTTCTGCAACAGATGAACATACTTTTTTTTTTTGGCCATCAAGTCACAGTTGACTTATGGCAACCCCATGGGGCTTTCAAGACAAGATACCTTTGGAGATGTTTTGCCATTGCCTGCCTCCTTGTCCCAGCCCTCGTATTTCTTGGTGGTCTCCCTTCCAAAGACTGACCAGGGTCAACCTTGGTCCAACATCTGATGAGACTGGGCTAGCCTGAGCTGTCTAGGTCAGGGCACTAACTACACCCTCTGGAATTATCACTGTGATTTAGGCCTTGAGTCTTAAGAACATAAGAACATAAGAGATGCCAATGTTGGATCAGGCCAAAGGCCCATCCAGTCCAACACTCTGTGTCACACAGTGGCCAGAAATACCAGGTGCCATCAGGAGGTCCAGCAGTGGGGCCAGGACACTAGAAGCCCTCCCACTGTTGGCCCCCCCAAGCACCAAGAAGACAGAGCATCACTTGCCCCAGAGCCCCTATCTATACCTTGTGGCTAATAGCCACTGATGGACCTCTGCTCCATATACTTATCTAATTCCCTTTTGAAGCCGTCCATGCTTGTAGCCACCACCACTTCCCGTGGCAGTGAATTCCATGTGTTAATCACTGTTTGGGTGAAGAAGTACTTCTCAGTGAGAAAGATGGACTATAAATAACAAATAGGCTTAGAGCATCTTTATCAGATGTGTCTGATGAAGCGAGCACTGACTCTCAAAAGTTATACTCTGAAACTGTTGTTGGTCTCTAAGGGGCTACTGGACTGGAATCAAGCAGTTTATCAGAAGTATTTTAGTGACTGTAAAGTAATTGGATTTGTAATGAAACAACTTTGTGTAAGAATTTTTTGCAGCATATCGTTTATAAATATACGCCAAATAACCAACTCACTTATTGAAATTATCTCCATAATTGGAGAAATATAGAAAATGCTGTCTTTTTGTAAATTTCTATGTTGTTTATTTTTAAAATTACTGCCCCTAAACCTTTTTTTTTCTTTCTTATTCTCTCTGGTTTATACATATACTAGTAGTAAAGCCCATTATGAAAGCAATACAACGAGCTCTAGAAAGATGTGATGTGTAAAAAATGCATAGGCTGGAAGGAGGTAAAGTAAATATTAGCAGTCTGTAACTGAAAGATACAAATGTGGAAGTAAAGTCTCACATACCTTATGTTACACAATAGCCGGTGTCCAAAGTCAAACAATGTGGGTCAGAAAATGTTGCACACAGGGGTCTGTGGAGTAGTGTCAACAACTGGGCAGTCTGCAAAGTCATTTTATGTTGGATGTCCATGTCATTCAGTGTGGTTGTGGTCGCACTGTCCACCCTGTTAGAGCAGAGGTCTCAAGGGAAGGTGGTTTGAAAGAGAGTGGTCATGATGAAAGTCTCGGTAGGTTACGTGGGAATGAGAAGGAGGAGTCTTCGGAAATGAGTGTTGTGAAATCTCTAGTTTTGAAAGTTGTTATTTATGGTAGAGAAATGTGGCTGAGGAATGTTTTCCAACACGACAGTTTAGGGCTGGATGGTTTCAGGGAAACAGGTAGGCCGGCTGCGGGCCTCCCCCCCCTGACAGGCCCCACTGGCTCAGGTAAGCTGACCATGGCCCTCCCACCCCCCTGACAGGCCTCGCCAGCCCAGGTA